GTGCATGTGGCATCATAAGTAAGTTTATTTAGTTATACACAAATAAAAGTTACATAGAATATCATACTTAGCAGCATATGTTTGGAGAACCTAGGATAACCCAAAAGAGTCAGACAGACTTATTTCCATTAGGGTCCCTGTACCCAGTACCAAATGGTATAATGTACCATATGGTACAATGTACTATATGGTACATTGTACCATATGGTACCATTATACCATATGATACCATTGTATGACATGGCACCACTGTACCATATGGTACCATTGTACCATATGGCACAATGGTACCATATGGTTCAAAACCATAGAATTCGTCTTCAGCTCCACTTCCATCAGTCTTAGAACTGTAAGTTGTGAAGAGGAGAGTCAGAATTCGCCCGGAGAGTGAGTGGGGAGTGAGAGCTTCCTTGTTGCCAGGCACTATGAACAAAGCTACTTTGCCGGCGTTCCCACAATGCCATGCGGGCGTCCAGATTTTTTCTATGGTGTGCACATTGACCACCCAGACCCATTCTCTCAGATGTAGGCCTACCAGCCTTCTCGTGCTAAATTTGGCGCCGCTAGAATTTTGGCGTAGATCTACGGTTTGGACCCTGAATGTAAAGCCGTAGATCTACGGGACGGACCCTGAAAGGGTTAATATTATATATAATCATACAATCTCTTACACCTTGTCAATTACAATTGATCAATTTTAATGAATAATATTGTACCTTGTATATTAACTATTATTTTTAACTTCATGTAAATATGATGGAACCTCAGTACTCGAACAGCTCCCTACTTGAACAATTCAGTTTTCAAACACTTTGTTAAGTAAAAATAATCATTCAGTAGTCGACCATTTGCTCAGCCCTCGACTACACAACCTGCCAGAACTTCGCTGTAAACTACTTAGTGTTTCTTCGTGTTTTTTTATATTATTTGTATAAATAAGTCATGGGGGCCTAAGAAGATTAGTGATAATAGCCAACCAAAAAGAAAATTGATTGGAAAAAATTCATTTGGTACTCGAATAGATCAGCACTCAAACAGCCTTCTAGAACAAATTAAGCTCGAGTACTGAGGTTCCACTGTACTACACAAAAACACAACTACGTAGTTTTTTAGCGTTACACAATTTTAGTCTAAATTTTCCCAAGATGCTGTGCATATTATGTACAGTATATACCCATACTGATTTGAAATAAAATTTGTATTATTATTACTGTTTTATTCTCATTATTAAACAATGAAATTGGTAAATCCTTCTTCCTTTTTTAGCCAACATTTAAGGTTTGATAACAAATATTAATAAAGTTAATAAATAAATAAGATCCTCAAAGAACCAAACTATTGTGTTTAGAGCATTTATAAAGACATTTAGAAGGGATGTTTTGGGTAGTGAGATAAGAGCAAAAATCCACAATGTTTATAGATGTGAAAGTCATAGGGCAAGGTGCATGGCACATTTTGTTGTGCAGAACTGTTAAATTCATCAATGATTAAGTAGAAGTACTAAGTATGAAAGTGGAGGTCAAGAATCTAGTAATTATTCTTGTATATAAACCATTATCAACTGCTGAGGAGTTCATGGAACAGATAAGGAAGAAAGATAGGTGCCTCAAAAATTAAAAAAAAATCTTTAGAAATAACAGAACAAAAAGCCATCCAGGAAACTGCAAAAGGCCCTTAATATTTCTACACATTTAAACCAGTAAATAATAGAGCCTACTAGACTGGAGAATACACTAGACCTCATCTTCACTAACAATGATGATCTGATAAGAAATGTCACCATATCAAAAACAATATACTCAGATCACAACATAATTGAGGTTCAGACATGTATGCGTGGAGCCCCAGACCGACATAATGAGACTAGTCACGAGGGAGCATTCACCAAATTCAACTTCAATAACAAAAACATAAAGTGGGACCAAGTAAACCAAGTCCTAACCGATATAAGCTGGGAAGATATACTAAGCAACACAGACCCCAACTTATGCCTAGAACAGATTAACTTGGTGGCACTCGATGTATGCACAAGGCTTATTCCTCTAAGAAAAAGGAGGAGTAGATGTAAATAGAAAGAGACAGGCGCTCCCTTTACAGGCGAAGGAAAAGAATAACAGAGCGGCTAAAAGAGGTCAATATATCTGAAATGCGTAGGGAGACACTGGTCAGAGAAATAGCAAGCATCGAACTTAAGCTAAAGGAATCGTATAGAGTCAGGAATCGCGGGAAGAACTAAAAGCCATAAATGAAATCGAAAGAAACCCAAAGTATTTTTTCTCCTATGCCAAATCAAAGTCGAGAACAACATCCAGTATTGAGCCCTTACTTAAACAAGATGGGTCCTACACAGATGACAGCAAGGAAATGAGTGAGCTACTCAAGTCCCAATATGAGTCAGTTTTTAGCAAGCTGCTAACCAGACTGAGAGTCGAAGACCAAAATGATTTTTTTATGAGAGAGCCACAAAATTTGGTTAACACAAGCCTATCCGATGTTATCCTGACGCAAAATGACTTCGAACAGGCGATAAATGACATGCCCATGCACTCTGCCCCAGGCCAGACTCATGGAACTCCGTGTTCATCAAGAACTGCAAGAAGCCCCTATCACGAGCCACTTCACAATCTTCTGGAGTGGGAGACAGGACACGAGTGTCAAACAATATAAAAACATCAGGACATGGCCACTCTCTAACACAAGGGGGCTTTAAATGCAACTAGCAAAGAACAGACCCAATAATAAACCTATGTACATTAAATATCTTAATTAATGAAAAAGATACCACATCTAAGCAAACCTAATTAGTTTAACAGAAAGGAACATAGATTTAGATAAGAATCCTCTGTTCTGTTCAACCTTTGGATCCTACGACTTATGGTTCCTAATGCACTAGAAGCAAAAAGAATGCAATGGTAATATATACAGACTTGTGCAAAATCTTCTAATCTAATCTAATAGTTTCCACCAATAAGGGACTGAAGGTAAGTTTAAAAAAAACGTCAGACATAACTCCACTAACAGTAAAGCAAAAGCAGAGTAGTCTCAACAGAGTAAGTCGAGGCAGACTTACGGTGAAAATCTTAGTTCCACATAGGCACAGTACTCCTCCCATCTTGATTCCTCATCCTCATTACCACATAGACAGGATGGTCTAGCACAGGCACCGTGTCTTCCTTTGCAGATGACACCCGAATCTGCATGACAGTGTCTTCCATTGCAGACCCTGCAAGGCTCCAGGCGGACATCAACCAAATCTTTCAGTGGGCTGCAGAAAACAATATGAAGTTCACGATGAGAAATTTCAATTACTCAGATATGGTAAACACGAGGAAATTAAATCTTCATCAGAGTACAAAACAAATTCTGGCCACAAAATAGAGCGAAACACCAACGTCAAAGACCTGGGAGTGATCATGTCGGAGGATCTCACCTTCAAGGACCATAACATTGTATCAATCGCATCTGCTAGAAAAATGACAGGATGGATAATGAGAACCTTCAAAACTAGGGAGGCCAAGCCCATGATGACACTCTTCAGGTCACTTGTTCTATCTAGGCTGGAATATTGCTGCACACAACAGCACCTTTCAAGGCAGGTGAAATTGCTGACCTAGAAAATGTACAGAGAACCTTCACGGCGCGCATAACGGAGATAAAACACCTCAATTACTGGGAGCGCTTGAGGTTCCTAAACCTGTATTCCCTGGAATGCAGGCGGGAGAGATACATGATTATATACACCTGGAAAATCCTAGAGGGACTAGTACCGAACTTGCACACAAAAATCACTCACTACGAAAGCAAAAGACTTGGCAGACGATGCAACATCCCCCCAATGAAAAGCAGGGGTGTCACTAGCATGTTAAGAGACCATACAATAAGTGTCAGGGGCCCCAGACTGTTCAACTGCCTCCCAGCATACATAAGGGGGATTACCAACAGACCCCTGGCAGTCTTCAAGCTGGCACTGGACAAGCACCTAAAGTCGGTTCCTGACCAGCCGGGCTGTGGCTCGTACGTTGGTTTGCATGCAGCCAGCAGCAACAGCCTGGTTGATCAGGCTCTGATCCACCAGGAGGCCTGGTCACAGACCGGGCCGCGGGGGTGTTGACCCCCGGAACTCTCTCCAGGTAAACTCCAGGTAAACATACATGAAATCTGAGTCAAGAACCACCTGTGGAATTTGCCCATCACTCACAGGAGGGTCATACACTGATGACAAAAAAAAAAAGAGAGAGAGAGAGAAATCTTAAAGGACAAGTATAAATCATTATTCAGCAATCCACAAGGTGAAAGTATAGTGGAGGATAGAAAACACTTTTTCATTACATCCAACTTCCCTACAAATTAACGTAACGTAAACATAAATCTCAAAGAATTTGAAAAAGAAATAGAAATCATGCTCACACATGCAGCAAATGGGCCAGATGTTCTTTATTTATAATGAACTGCAAAATATCATGAGCACTTAGTATTCTTTGTAGATAGAGCTCATATCTAGGTGAAATAACAGAAGTTTAAAAAAAAGTACAGACTGATTGCCATTAGACCACTTGCAAAAAAGTCTCTGAAAAGTGATAAAATGCCAAATCACAAATTTTATGGACAACATGATCTGCACAACCCAAACCAAGATGAATTAAGAACAAGAAGATCATGCTTGGCATAGCTTCTAAACCATTACAAGAAAATTTCAAAGGACAAAAAACAAAATGTAGAAGTGGTCTACACAGATATTACAGTCACCTGTGGTATGTATTTATGCCTGGGAATCTACTACAGTAAATCACCTAAAACCAATATTAAGTCAACAGAAAGTTCTGATACTATGAACTCTGTAAGAAAAACTGTTTTGTAACAGTATATATCATACAATTTTAACATGGTTAAGATCTGCTATAATACTTAAGATTACATTCTCTAAATATAACAATGTCAGCAGCTGTACTGGAATTACCTTGCCACAGTAATTTACTCTATGGAACACTTTTTTTTGTTACCTCTTCTCCCTCCTTGACAAGAGCTTGAGAAGCCTCCTTGATGTCTGCCACAGTGGAAGCCAGAGCATGCAGAGCAGCAATGACAGATGCTTCCAGAGAGTCCAGATCAAATGCCTTATCTAGTGCACTCAGACGCTTCATCTGAGAAGAAAAATTGCCATTACATACTTAAAAATAACAGTAAGAAATAGAGTGATGATAATAATGAATGATACTGACAGAGCAGAGAACTATTGTTATCAATGAACACATTATACAAGAAATACCTCAATTTCTCCTGGTTCTTGTTTAGCCTTATGAAGAGTCCATGTCAGGTATATGCAAGAGCCCTCTGGCAAAATGTCAGAATTATTCTTAGTTTCAGGCTTTCAACTTATCAAGAAATACACACACTGCACAAAGAAATCTCTCAGCAGTTATAATGTACTGAAAACTCTTGTCCCATACAACAGCAGTATGCACCTGACAAGGCTATATGGGCATGCCACAACAACTATGTTATAGGAGGGCCCCAATTATATGGCAGGTTAGGTTCCAGGCTACTGCCGTAAAGCAAAAATCGCCATAAAGTGAATCACCCTTGATTTTCGCTTTTATATGCATATCATATATTACATGAACAATAGAACTAGGCCTAAAAAACAAAACGGTAAAATGCATATACAGTATACTCTTTACATACCTTAAAATATTTTCATCTTTATCTTTTAGTGAGTAGTAGTAGCCACAAGAAACATGTTACATAACACACAAACATGATACATACACCCACCAAGTGACTTGTAGGAGTGTTGGAAAAATTATGTTTTCTCTAGTCCAACACCAGCTACTGGGGAATAACTGTAGAAAATATTCCTTTCGTATATTTTACTCTATCTATAGCTATTCTTGACCCTTGTGGGTTTAGTGCTTCTTTTTTATTATGATTATAATAATACTATCATCATTCACTCAAAATGGTGTGTTGCAGGAGAATGGGAGTGTTGCTGTTTATTCTTATGTACTAACTTGTACAACTTGTACACAATATAAGAGTATTTGTATCGTGAGGTAAGTACAGTAATTTTTTTTTTTTTAACAAGTCAGCTGTCTCCCACTGAGGCAGGGTGACTCCAAAAAGAAAGAAAATCCCCAAAAAGAAAATACTTTCATCATCATTCAACACTTTCACCTCACTCACACATAATCACTGGTTTTGCAGAGGTGCTCAGAACACAACAGTTTAGAAGCATATACCTATAAAGATACACAACATATGCCTCCAAACTGCTAATATCCCGAACCCCTCCTTTAGAGTGCAGGCATTGTACTTCCCATTTCCAGGACTCAAGTCCAGCTATATAAAAATAACCAGTTTCCCTGAATCCCTTCACTAAATATTACCCTGCTCACACTCCAACAGATCGTCAGATCCCAAATACCATTCGTCTCCATTCACTCCTATCTAACACGCTCACGCATGCTTGCTGGAAGTCCAAGCCCCTCGCCCACAAAACCTCCTTTACCCCCTCCCTCCAACCTTTTCGAGGGCAACCCCTACCCCACCTTCCTTCCCCTACAGATTTATATGCTCATCATGTCATTCTACTTTGATCCATTCTCTCTAAATGACCAAACCACCTCAACAACCCCTCTTCAGCCCTCTGACTAATACTTTTATTAACTCCAATCCTTCTCCTAATTTCCACACTCCGAATTTTCTGCATAATATTTACACCACACATTGCCCTTAGACATGACATCTCCACTGCCTCCAGCTGCCTCCTAGCTGCTGCATTCACAACCCAAGCTTCACACCCATATAAGAGTGTTGGTACTACTATACTTTCATACATTCCCTTCTTTGCCTCCATAGATAACGTTTTTTGTCTCCACATATACCTCAACGCATCACTCACCTTTTTTCCCCTCATCAATTCTATGATTAACCTCATCCTTCATAAATCCATCCGCTGACACATCAACTCCCAAGTATCTGAAAACATTCACTTCTTCCATACTCCTCCTCCTCAATTTGATATCCAATTTTTCTTTATCTAAATCATTTGATACCATCATCACCTAACTCTTTTCTATGTTCACTTTCAACTTTCTACCTTTACACACACTCTCAAAATCATCCACTAACCTTTGCAATTTTTCTTTAGAATCTCCCATGAGCACAGTATCATCAGCAAAAAGCAACTGTGTCAATTCCCATTTTGTATTTGATTCCCCATAATTTAATCCCACCCCTCTCCCGAACATGTTAATGAACTAAAATTGGACATGTATTTATACGCATTTATTTCACCCGACCGAGTGATCGCCCACCACTCGTTCAGTTTGTGTTTTTACGTTGTCTGAACTCGGTGCTTATCAATATTTTATCATATGTAAAACTAGTGTTTTGGGTGGACACATCTGTAATAGATGAGGTCAGATCGACTCAGATGGCCATGTAGTAACCTTGCGGTGACTAGTGACACTAAACAAATTATCTTCACATTAATGCAATACAGCAACATACCCTGGATTATGTTATAGATGAATTAATGAAAATGTCTATAATAATGTAATATATAATATTTAAAGCACTCCAGAGCAATTAGTATTATTATTATCATCAATATTAACCCCTAAATGGTCCAAATGTGTATATACGCTCTTACCGCTAGCGCCCCAAACGCATATATATACATTTTATTTTTCCTGCCTCCAAATTTGGCACGATTGGCCTGAGATGCCTGGTCAGCATAGAATGGGTCTAAACACTCTGTGTGCACCTTATTAAAAAAAATCTAGGACCACTTACCTTATGGAAGGGCCAGTTAGACTGAGCGCCAGCTAGAGCAAACAGTCATATTCACACTCTCCTTTTAAGAGGAAAGTGATGTTGATCCCAAGTTCAGAGTCTGTCTGTCTCTGCCTCTGTCTCTATCTCTTTTTATCTCTGTCTCACGGGTACACAAATACAATTATAGTGTAAATTACCTAGGATAACCTAAAAAATCCGAAATGCTATACCGTGCTCGTAGATATAATGCATAAGAATACCTGTTGGTTCACAGTGGCTCTCTCTGAGACAGAGAGAGAGCGACAAGCAGAGACAGAAAGAGAGACAAGCAGACAGAGAAATAAGCAGAGACAGATATCAACGCTCATCAAATGTCACCCCATATCTCATCGACACTTATCAAATGTCACCCCATATCTCATCAACACTCATTAAATGTCACCCCTTATCTTATTGCTGCACCCTCACTGGTGCCCATCAAATGTCATCCCTTACCTCATCTTATCTCTACACCCTGCCAATGCTCATCAAATGTCACCCCTCATCTTATCACTGCCCTCCCAGATGCTTGTCATGGAAACTACTACTACTTCTTCTTTCTTCATCTTTCTTCTTCCTTCTTCTTCTATACTCCCATGTATCCAAAACATTGCTGGGACCTATAAATACTTTGTATATATTCCTAGACAATAGTAAATAACCAAGGCAGGTGTAAATGTCCACCTGTCAATGTGTTTGTGACAATTTGAGTACAATAACAGTACTAATATTAGTGTCAGAACAAAGATTGGTAATGAAATGACAAGACCTACTATAAATTGTAATTATCAGAACATAAAAATTATATAAAATATAAAAATAAGAAAAAAAGGTACATCGGCAACACTTCTGCAAGCAGCAGGACTCGATGTTGCCATCAGGTGAGCATTAAGTGCCAACTTTGCAGCCTCATATTTCAGTAATTTTTTTTATTTATTTATTTTAATCCTATAACACTTAGAAAAAAAATTTCTATTTAAAAAAAAAAAAAAAAAAAAAAAATATATTCACGGCACTGGGCGAGAGAATGTATATAAATGTTTGGACCTTTAGGGGTTATTATTATTATGTTACTGCATTTTCAACACACTTAGTGAGACACTCTTAGCTACTTGCTCACCTGGTGTAGCTGTTCCTACTTTGTAATGATGCTAAATAGTGATTTTAATGTACCTGCATGCCAGCACAGTAAGTTTATTTAAAGGTACATTAGTATTATTATAATCATAACTAAGCACTGAACAAATAAAGGTTATTAAGGAAGAGGTACACATAAGTATAATTATCAGTACTGTACTATCTCAGCCATGGACATACCCTGTTCACTGAGTTGAATCATTTTTAACTCTGCACTTAAAGAACCTTAAAACTCTTCTTTTTATCACAGCTACCCTTAGATGTCACTGTAACACAAAAGGAGTGTACAGTAGGGCCCCACTTTACGGTGTTTTGCTTTAAATAATAATAATAATACTCTCTTGGGTGTATTAAATGTTGCATATTACTTTAATATAGACATTGCCATTAATCCATCTATGATATTTTTTTCAAAATTATACAAGAAACATGTTACATAACACACAAACATGATACATACACCCACGAAGTGGCTTGTAGGAGTGTCGGAAGAATTACGTTGTCTTTAGTCCAACACCATCTACTGGGGGATAACTGTGGAAAAATATTCCTTTCATATACCTTCACTCTATAGGTATTCATGACCCTTGTGGATTTAGCACTTCTTTTTTATTATGATAATAATAATAAAATCATTCATTCAAAATGGTGTGTTGCATGAGAATGGGAGTGTTGCTGTTTATTTATTCTTATGTACTAACTTGTACAACTTGTACACAATGTAAGAGTATTTGTATTATGAGGTAATTATTATTATAATAAAAATAAATATTGTGAGGTAAAAGTTCCACAAACTCTTACAAACGTACGTTAATGAACTAAAATTGGACATGTATTAATACGTATTTATTTCACCTGACTGAGTGAGCACCCACCACTCGTTTAGTTTGTGTTTTTACGTTGTCTGAACTCGGTGTATCTTGTTCTCTCTCATTTACTATTTCGTTACCTAGTTGATGATGGCGTCTAAGCTTAGTTGTGATAAAAAGAAGAGTCGTAAGCCTCTTACTTTACGTGCCAAGTTAGAAATGATTAAACTCAGTGAACTGACTTTTTTGGGTTATCCTATGTTCTCTACACATATATGATAACCTATGTAACTGTATTTGTGTACACCTGAATAAAACTTACTAACAAGGCATGTCAATGGCTGAGACAGCCATCAAATACAGTTACACAAAGCAGAATA